GGAAATTCACTGTAAACCTGTATCAGAATAGCCTGGTCTCCGGACCGAGATTTAAACTCCCAACCTCCGAGATACGAAGCAGATGTCCTACCCACTTGACATCGACTGTCAAAATCTCCGTCCATTCCCAAGGTTAAGAAGGCGTGGTTCTTTACCCTCACTCACACATGAGTCATCGTAGCACTGTGCTTACACTCAGTCTCTGTTCTTGTTATAATTAAGTCATAAAACATGTCGAATTTAAATTATTGCTAACGAAATAATCAAAACAGAGTTCCGAGCAGATCACACAATGCCTGCTTACCTAAGAGCGTGAGGTATAAAAATACGATCATGGGTCCCGCAGAACCCGGAATCAAGAATGACTGTGCTGGCGAAGGCCAGCTGCAATTTACCGGAAATCTGAACCGAAATCGGTGATGTATTTCAGAAATTGGCCGTGCTTCACTACTTAAATAATAATAATAATAATGTATTTGCTGTTGTATTTATGTGAAGAACTTATTGCTTAAACATACCGTATTTACGCATGTATAGGCCGCGTGCGTGTATAGGCCGCAGCACAATTTTCAGACAGAAATTATAGAAAAAATAATTTTCTTGTAATATTATTTCAGGAGCAGAACACCCTGTATTACTAATTATGAATATGATTTTTTTTAAATGAAGTGTGATTTCGAATATTTCGAATATAAGCCGCACCCCAGTTTTCCTCTTGAATTTCTGGCAAAAAAATGTGCGGCCTATACATGCGTAAATACGGTAGTTGTGTGTACGTTAAATTTTTTGGCGACATGAAATATTCGCGTCGTGACCATGTTTTAATTGCTGATATACGAGTAGTATTCTTGCATAATGTGAAATTATATTTATGATTTATCCGTATATCAGATTTCACTTGCCTAGATCCAGCGGTTCATTAGGTACTACCATAAAACCGAAAGAAAAAGTGAATTTTCACACGGCCACCATGTTGTTATTTTACGTTAACACAAAGATAATGCTTGAATTACGTATAGTTGTATACTTCCCGTAGAATTATTGCTGTACAGTATTTCATAACCCTAGACGTAATGGCGCTCCAACTCCAACTCTAACTCTAAGTTCGCGAGTTATGTTGTTGCTGACTGTAGAGAATTAAAGAGTATATTGTGATGACCTCCCATTTCATAACGTTAATACCAAGTTTTGTGAAAACCTGTGAACTGAAGTAGGAGTTGAAACGGGGAAGCAGAGAGCACGATAACCTGAACCCCTCATCTTTTTTTTTTTATCCCCGTAAGGAAGGAAAATAGGCTAACAGCTGCATTTGTTCTTCCAACTACGCTACCGGGTGGAGATAGCCTCTTTGGATTATTGTTTTTGTGTGTCTGTTGTGGGCGACGACTGCCTGGTTGGGGCCACTCCAACTGCAGGTGTACACGAGGTTGAGACGGTCTCGCGATAACGCGTTCTTCCGGTGGGCATGAGATGAAGGTGCGATATGTATGCTGAAACAGCGGGACCTTTGTAGTATGTTGCTTCTGCTCTTACTCCTCCTCCTTCTGTTGCTACCTAGCCTCTTTTTTTTTTCTTCTTTAAAGATTTGTCTTGTCTTGTTCAGCCTTCTGAAAATGCTATGCCCCTGCCTTAATCTGTAGTGTTAGTTTCCAGACATCAACGAAACGATCTTTATCTTTCAAGGTGCTGCGTTGTCTAGTATTCGAAAAGACTAATTTTGAGGCTCAGTCTACAGACGTAAATTTCTTCTTGTCCTCCAATTCAGAGATTAGGGCGACGGCCTGTTCCGGCTTCTGTGAAACGTGTTGCATCTTGATATATCTCTTTCTTCCTTACACGAATTACTCTTAAGCCTATTGGACTTCATAGCCATCTTTTGAATGGTCTCTATATCCTCACGGTTTCTGTTGAAGGGGAACTTGTTTTTATCCACTCTATTATGGTGGGTCAGCCGTTGTTCTCAGATGTCGTCTATTCATTTATTTACAGCAAACAATTTTAGTTTTTCTCTTAAGAAGGTAATGTAATCTTATGGGATCGCCTTTGTGTTTGTCTCCATGCCACTCTTTCGCCTCTTGAACCAATTGTTCGATTTTCACGAAATTCGGTATGAACTTTGGGCAGTCAGTAATAACAACATGACGTATGTGCGAAATTGTGAGGGGGCTTGACACTCGTGACACGCATGTGTCCTAAATGATGTAAGGTAACACATCTTCAAGAATATGCAAGTTTTTTTGATACAGTTTTGTGTGTATTATGAAGACGAGGGCGGCAGGAATTATCTGTAGCCTTCGATTTGAAGACTATAGCGCCTGAAGAACTATTGGAGCTAGACTTAGGGAACCTGGTATGAACTGCTTGAATTTTTTTTCATAATGCAGGTACGATTTCCATGTATGGAACATGTATGTATACAAAAATGAGGTACTTCCTAGTCTACGTTCCTTATTTTGAAAAAATGAAAGTAGGCTTATGCGATCTCAATGCTTTCTGTATGTCTGTGTTTCTGTGACTCCTCCCCCTATTAACTTCTGGAAACCTGAACCAATCTTTATTAAACTTTATATGTATATCATGGCACCCGTGCCCATGTCAACGGCATACTTCATAAATTCCTCCCATCAGTCTATGTCCCTCTATATGTGCCTCTCCTATCGTTAGGCGAAGGTTCGGTAAAGTGTATTCCTCCTTCCATTGCCAGGCAACGGCTCAGTAAACACGTTCTCGCTGCGACGAATACACGCAACAATAAAAGAATTGTTGGATGCTTGTGTCTATTGGTATGTGTGTATATCTCCATGTCGTTGCTAGGTAACAACTCGGTAAAGACTTTTCCGCGGCAACGGAGGGTTTTTGGAGGCGTCATATCATATCAAAGGAAAGCAAGCGATTAGTTCTTCGGTAAAGGCGTTCCCGCGGCAACGAATTGGAGGCGTTTTTTTTTTGTGGTCCGTGTCGTATCAAAGGAGCATAGACGATTAATTCTTCCCTGAAGTTCCTATATTCAATCTGAATTTTGCCTGTTTCCTTACCGTCGCTTTGTTACGTAAATGTTACAGTACAAATCCCAGACCCTTGACTACCAGTTATCACTATTAAAAATTAGAAATCTGTGAGCAGAGTATACAAAACTAGTATTTTCTAGATTCTAAAGGGTTCTGACGATGGCGGATGACACAGAATTACTGGGTTTATGGACTTTTTCCATCGTCCGGAACTCTAGGTAATAGAGGACACGACGTTTCGGAAACCGGATCTGTTTCCATCTTCAGGTGAGGAAGGAAGACACCTACTTGGTTGGGCCTGTTAGAAAGACCTAATCTCAATCACTCCGAAACGTCATGTCCTCTGTTACCTAGAGTTCCGGACAATGGAAGAAAGTCCAAGAACCCAGTAATTCTGTAGTAGTTACCGCTGCTGTTGGTACGCACAGGAATCGAAACATTCCTAGTATTTACTGCTCTTTTCAGAAAAAAAAATAGCCCTTACCATATCGTCATTTGCCGGACTGAATTCTCGCTGATATTTGACATAACGAAAGAACGTTCCATGTTTACTGTTCTTACTCGTATTAGGCGTCCTTTTCTACGTAAGAAAAACAACACCTTTTGCAGAGGCCGTGCCCCTCCCTCTGTGACCCAGTATCTGAGGCTAACTTACATTTTTCAAAAATCGATATTAGATACTTTTTTTCGGGCAATTCAGATTTACATCCTTATGGGTTCATAACAAAATCCATTTTACATAACGTCATAAATGAACGTCTTCATATATAACGTAAGTCATTGATCACATTTTGCTAAAATTCTGTATGACAGCTAAAATCAAAATGGTCAAATAATATAATTCGCATGTCTCTCAGCTCGAATTTCACCAAAATTTTATTAATGGCTTATGCTTTACATGCAGAAGTTCATTTGTGATATTATGTAAAATTGTCTTTGTTATGATTCAGTATGATTGAAAATCGAAAATTTCTGACAGCTTTTAGTGGGACTCAAGAATGTAGGACGTAAAAAAAGAACCCTTTAGGCGTAGATACTCAGTTCGAACGGACGGACGGACACGCCCTTCCCGTGAGGCATTTCTTAACTCTACACATAACGCCTCAGATGCACAAGTTAAGAACTAAAGAGAAATAGTTTTAACTAAAGAAGATGTGGAAAGAACTAGTTCAGACTCAAAGGAGCAGTAAGTACTAGGTCCCAAAATGTTTGTTACGGTTATAACAACAAGTAGGGAGTACTGTGCTTAGGGATATCCAGTTCTTAATACTAGGAACTGGCAGTAACAGATTAGGGCTTTAATTGTAATGTTTATGTCATAGCCAACTTCGTAAGAAATACTCATACTGTTCCTGCTTTCCGAACACTTAAATTATAAAACTATAAATTATAAACATAAGTGGTTCATATAACACCAGAAACTTGGCGATACTTTGTCGCAAGTTCAGAAGATAAATTTTAAAATATTCCTTTTCTTCAACTGTAAGTTATATAAAAGAGGGTGATTCTAAATTATTGTCGCAGTTTCAGTTTATAGTCCACGAAAATCCCGACAGTAATTTAGAAATATTCTGTGCTTTTCTTGTAAAAAAACGCTCGTTGTTCATGTTTTTACACAACTAGCTCGTATATTTGTCACGTTTTTATTCTTGATAAGAATGCTTTCCGTTTATAGGCCACGGAAACCCCGAAAGTAATCTAGAATCACTCTGTACTTCACTTCTGAAAAAAAAAACGCTCGTTTTTCATGTTTTTACAAAACTAGCTCGTATATTTGTCACTTTAATTATTTCTGTTGGATTTTATGATTTTGCTTGCTTCCATCTATATATATAATTAAGTTGTGGAAATCCGTTAGCGAGTAATGACGCTAAAAACAGAACTACGTATTTTCTGTCGTTGCGCTTACTTTCAAACTAATTTTTTTGGATACGCCTTCTCCTCTCGTGTCCATCCCCGATAAGAGGTGTTTTACTATGTCTTCTGTTACAGCTGATCCAAGCAGTCACCAATTACAAGAACCGGAGTACAGGCCAACTTTCAGCCGTAACATGCTTCATGCTGTTCTTTGGCGCGCTTGCCCGCGTGTTCACGACCATACAGGACACTGGTGATAACATTCTTCTCTTTACCTACCTTTGTACATCGATACTGAACGGTATCATTGCCGGGCAAGTCCTTTGGTACTGGAACTCTGACAAAGACAAGAAAGATTAGATCAAAACATGCTCCTTTTTTTTTTTTTGCGATTATTTTCTTTTGGTGTTGGAAGATTTCAAGGAGGTGTATATATTTTTCACAAATTCCAGTTGATATATTTGAATGTCTTGTAGGCATAAAAATGCGTATACTTGAGACGAGTTCTACCTTTTGGGATATAACGCCGTGTACATCGGTGAAATCAAGCATCCTCTGCTTGCTGCCTGCTTTATCATGGGTTCTCTCTTGGCGTACTAGTTGATCCTGAAGATGATGGTGATGTGTCCCTGAAATATCCGTTGACTTTCAATGGACTTACATGACCTTATATACCAGAAGATCGAACTCTTTACAGTAAACGCTGTGAGAACCTCAAACCCAACGCATGTTTTTAAATTCAGCTTTCTTGGTAATCTGCAGTTTTGTGTTAATTTCATTCTATCGGTCCATTAGTAATGTGAATTTTGAGAACGAAATTTGTGATATAAACATTGTTTCGTGCTGTGAATATATCAGAAAAGTGAACGTAGTTCGCTGCTACATTCCAGTTCATTTTTTTTTTGAAATATAGTTAAAACGTATATAACATGAAATGTTAATAATAATTATCTCCAGTCTTGCCATTCAGTTTTTTTAAATCAGGGTCATGCGCACTTTACTTCTAGCACGTAAGTGCTGATAGTGGAGTTGCTTTTGTATCAATGAGCTCTCCCATTGTCATTGTTACTCCCATAATCTATCCGGCGTCATAATATGCAGCATCTTCGTGTGAGAAAATGTTACTAACATTAATTTTTCTGCGTTAATTTCTACTTCCTTGTTTGAGTGTTATTTCCTTTAAAATGTGTCTCGTCGTATGTCTTCAGCACAATCCTTGTATCTTCAGGCGTTGAATCTGTTTCTTATAACCAAGACCCGGATTTTGATGACATGTCATCTTTTTTTTCCTTGTATCCTTTGCGATGCTCTTAAATATATAAATCTCGGATATGAGCTGCTGGTTACAGAAATGTAAATTTTATAGGTAATTTTTGTTTTTATATTTTTAGGCTTAAGGTCATTTTTTCATTTTTGTCGTAATTTTTTTGGTAAATTTTGGGACTTTTAAGGGTATTTCTTGTCATTTTTGGCCATTTTAGAGGATTTTTCTTCGTACGTTTTCTGAAACGTGAATAACATGGAAGCGAAGTGTTCTTTCTTTTCTCCTTTAGGTCATTTTTCTGGATTTTTTCGGTCATTTTTTAAATATTTTCAGGTCATCAAAATCCGGGCCCTGCATATTACATTTTTGGGTTATATTGTAGGTCATTTTTCTGGATTTTTTGGTCATTTTTAAATATTTTCAGGTCATCAAAATCCGGGCCCTGTTATAACACAGTCAGTAGCAACAGATCTACAGCTATAACCAGAAAATTTGTAATGACATTGTTTTTCTTATTGCTACTGGGGTGGGACTAAATCCCTTGTACTCCGGCCACTTCTGCCCTATTGTACGAGCCCCAGATGATAGGTGAGGGTGATTGTGGAGCAATTGGTGGAATGAAGATTGGCAGGGGAAACCGAAGTACTCGGAGAAAACCTGCTCCAGTGCCACTTTGTCCACCACAAATCCCACTTGACCAGACCCCGGATCGAACCCTGGCCACCGTGGTGGGAAGCAAGCGACTAACCGCTTGAGCTAAGGCGCGGTCACAATTGTAATGACAGTACTACAGTTTTAACGTTCTTTCATGCAACAAATGAAATAATCGAGTTATAAGTTATTTTTAATAATCTATGCATAACAAGATCCCGTTTTCTCTTGCAACTTTAGATTTTTAGAAACTGGGTGAACTGTATTGTGCGTGTAATTGTGTGTGTGTATATATATATGCAGGGCTATTATAAATTATTTAACTGAAAAGAAGTGTGTTTTGAAAGAGTTACAGCCACAATCATAAAACAACTTTCAAACAGCAAGGAAACTCACAAAGTTTATCTACAGATGGTGTTATTATATGGTTGCCAACACAACAAACTCCAAATTAATAAACTAATATTACTGCATTAACGTTTATATGACTGTTCTCTGACAGTCTTTTGAATTGAAATACAGTGTGTGTGGGAACCATTATGCTGTCATTTTATCATGCATATTTTCTTAATAAACACAAATTGTCACGTGTAGGAGGGTACGCGCAACGAAAATGACGGATTCTAGTTCGGATGATTGGACTTATAAGCACCTTGGTTACACTCTCGCTCAATCACATTTAAACACAGCGCTATCGTTGATTTACACACACTGGTCCTCTCCCGGTACCACAGCTAAACCTCAGGCACTATAGCAGACTCACTGAAACACGCACTCCAAGTATTACACATGAATGACGCCTTATAATCACACTTCAAGTCTTCACAAGACAACGATGTCACAGAAGTCACTACCCAGCACTACCCATGGGGTTAAAAATTGTTAATGATTAAATTGCATACCAAAAATGTACAAATTGACTACCTTCTGGTCTATATGAAGTTCATCTAACATGAGCTTATAAAAGTGAAATGTGCACTCAGGATCATCTTCTAGTCACCCATGAGGTAATCTCGAAATTTAGTGCTTGAATTTTGATTAATTTAATATCATTTGATATATTTAAGCATCCTGTTGCACTATGCACTTCTATATGTAATAATACAAATGCCGTCTTGAATGCAACAATTTATTTGGTTGTAGTTCTTTGTCTTTTCTTCCTCTACACTAATGTTTCGGCCGTAACTGGCCACCATCAGGTGTATTTTTCAATACGTAGCTGTCACACTGCAACACAATCCAAAATCTAAAACACCAGCCTGTCAGTTTTGTTTAAAATCTCGCCAACATACGCTCGTCAATTTGATTTTAGAATTCCAGTTTAAAGTTTAATTTTTTTTTAATTTAAAATTTAAAATTTGAAGTTTTAAATCACAGGGATACCTGCTCTTGTCTACATGTGCTGCAGCGGTTATTTCTTGTTTCCAGCACCATTCATGTATTATTCTGTGCAGGCTCCCTGTGTGTGTCGCTGCTCATCTTGAATATTTTTGCCGAAACATGTAGTGTAGAGGAAGAAAAGACAAAGGACTACAACCAAATAAATTGTTGCATTCACGACGGCATTTGTATTATTATATATAGATCCGTTGGTATGACCGTGTATAGATTCCTCGCTCCAGAGCAAGTCTGTGAGTAGATTTCTTACGAGTTTGGAACACTGCTTGGCAAATTAGTGTTTTGTTCTCTTCTAATCTTGTTGAACACAGTGCCATGTTATCCAAATTTCTGACACAGTTTGTACGTGGCCTTAGGTGTTGGTAGAACTGAATCAAAATTATGATGCCATTGTATAACAATCGCTAGAAAACCACTTTTTGAAGAACATATTCCTTCTTGTTTAAGCAGCGTAATCGCACACGAAATACACTCACCGTACCTGACAGAATAGAACAGGAATAGCAGGTAACAGATGTAACTTGCCAGCCAATACATTCTGATGGGTACTGATGTTTGCGCCACCTCTGTACAGCTACATTGACATCTCTAATATAACATCCTCAGTATCTCAGTGACGTATTATACGCAACATTCACAGAGACAGAACGTAAATATGAATATCAGGAATAAATTGTAATATAATGCAATTGTCATAATGCTTCAAATTCTGTAACTACTCGTAAATGAGTAGCTTAACTTCACGTAACAGATGGGTTTCAGTTATATCAGTATGCCAATTATGGTTCCATTTTTGACATCTAGGAATAGTGGAATTCCTGCTTTGTGCATACATTGAGTTTATGACCACTTAAACTTTATTAGATGACTGTTTCAAGCATACAGATATTCTTAGATATAACCTAGGGATAGTATCAGCACTTACCATCTATTTTAAGATTTAATAATAACATTAAATGATAATCTCTTATAATAATTTGTGTAATTTTAATTTGCCTTTGCTGTTTTAAGTATGATTTATATATAGTGTACTATGGGTTACCTTTAAGGAAGTTATTGTTTGTGTAATTCTTACTGGGTTTCAGTTGTTTTGTGGTGAAATTATATTGAATTGTTTGAAGGAATTGGTTTTTAATTTGTTGCTGATTAAAGAGTTGTGTGAGTGGTGGCGCAAGAAAATTGACTTAAAGCTCAAGATATTGTAAGATTAACTGCCTCAACAGATATAATTAATAATGGTGATATACATATATTATGTATATATATTGTATATATGCAGTCAACCTGAAGCACTTCGTGTTTTGTGATGGTGTATTGTGTGAAGTGTTTTTGGTTGACATTGCAATATTCTGATATATTCAATATGTTGAAATTTGAGTCAAGTTCTCCTTTCAGAGTGAGATAAGTTTTTTGTAATACATTTGTAACATAAAGAAAGGTTATGGAGTGGTTAATAATAAAATAAATGTTTATTATACTTCATTATGGCCTGTATTGATCGAATGATATTACAGTAATTAATTTCAGTGAGAAGAGAGAAGAAACCTATTAAATGGTTGATAAGCAAATTGGCTACGAAAGGAACCTATTCAACATTCTCTACCTTTAGTTTCTTTTTCACACATCACTGTGTTTTGTGATATCTTATGAAATATAATGGAGGTAAACCAACTAATCTGACGTCAACAGTTGTTCAGACCTTTAGGGGTTTGTATATAATTTATTGATATTCTCAGTACCCTTAGCTTGAGATTTGCCAACATTTCCTCGTTGAACCCTGAACTAACCTACCAGGAATTGTACATTATTAAGATTTTGTGTTACATAACAATGTTTGTATTGGATATTCAAGAAGATCTAAGAAAGCTGAAGCAAGAAAGGAAAGGATGAAATTACAAAACTAGGAACTTTGACAGTTTTCTGTCCATTATTGGTGGGGTTATTATGCAAAAGACAATTTATCACATGAAGAAGGAAGGTACTGTGTTGGTGTATTAGATGACAGTATTAAAATAGTTCTGTATTAAATAAACGAAAATGTGATTGAACTATCTCAGGATAGGGGTCAGCTATGGCGAGCATTTGTGAATATATCGACGGACTTGTGGCTTTCATAACAACAAGGAATTTCTTGCTCAGGTCAACAAGTTTATGCTTTTGTAACTTGGAGTGTTTTGATTTTTAAGGATGACTCTTTACTAGGGAGTTGGTGCTTCAGTCATATAGTTCGTTGGTTAATTAGTTAGTTGGCAGCACTTATTTATCAAATTAATATTTACTGCTACTTGTACATTCGTATTGCGGGCCGGGCTAGCGTAGTCGGTATAGCGACTAGCTACAGGCTGGACGACCGAAGGGTTGGAGTTCGAGTCCCGGTAGGATCAAGAATTTTCTCTTTCTGACGTCGTTCAGACCGGCTCTGGGTATCAGGGGCTCTTTCCCCGGGGGTAAAGCCTCCGGGGCGTGAAACTGACCACTCAACTCCAACTAATGCAGAGGTCGAGAAAATGTGGATCTATAAATCCACTCCCCCATACGCCTTCATGACGTAGCGCTTAATTAGTCAAGGACGGGGACTGGATAACTTTACCTTTTTCTAACTTGTTCGTATTACCTTACAAGCACAAAAAACTTTGCAGTTAGAGAAGTAGAGTGGAAGCTTCAGACTTAATGGCCAGAATTCAAGCCTTTAGCTTTTACAGCAAGTCCAGAATGCCCTGGAGCTTGCTGAGTCTCCTTACGAGTAGGCATCTTGTTTCACTTAAAGGATTGATGCTTTAATACAGTAAGTTTACTCTATGGATGAGATGCTGATGTAAATATTGGTAAAATAGGAAGTGACGAGCAAAAATAATGACTGTTTTCTAATGCAGTACCACAGAGAATTTCTTTGCAAGCATGAACTTTGGTGCAACTATCAGACACTCAGCCTGTTCAGTTAGACTGACCCATAACACATAAGATCACATCATGGCTAGACTGTTCGGAAAAGTGCACGTTACCTACTCTTATTA